CCTGGGTCTAGTGCACACCCCGAAGTACAGGTACCCATGAGCCGGTGGCTATGTTATGGGGGAAATACTGAGGCACAGTTTACCGAGAAAGAGATGGTTCAACAACTGGGGTTGAGTGTGAATCATACGGGGTGTGATGTCCGGATTGTTACAGGAGAAGCAATGGGACAAAAAGCCCCTAGCCATGCGTCAGTCAAAGCTTTGTGGTCGTGTGGTGGCAATGGAAGCAACTATTCAATATTAAATGGGGTTCAAGCTCTCATATCAATTACCTTGAGATGAAAATGATCCTTAATACACTCCTCTGGAAATCAAGGTGCACCTCAAAGATAAACAAGCGTTGGCTTCATCTTGAAGATAGTATGGTTTGTCTTTACATACTCTCCAAGGGAAGAACTTCAAGCGCAATGCTTCAACCCATATGCAATAAAATTGGTGCCTTACAACTAGCCATGGGCTCAACCCTCCTTCATGGACACGTGGGATCCAGTGAGAATCCCACCGATGCAGCCAGTCGCCTTTAACGGCAATGCCGCGCACTATCCCACGGGTAGTGCTGGCAGGGAAGACGCAGAAAGCGCGCCAAAGACAACGAGCGGGAATCCGCCTATGTGATTTCACTGTGACATACTGTGACTAATAAAACCCGCTTACGTTATGAAACTGCAGTTGCCCGTATTTTGCCTTTCTTAGAAAAACAGGCTGACCTCAAGGATTTGGATCATGTTGTTTGTGATTGGATAGAAATGCAATGGGCGCGGGGCGAGTCCGTTGGTTGGATCGCTGACGCCCTCTCAGGGTTACATTTCTTTTGGCCGGAGATCGTGAAAGCTGGCGAATGTTTTCGCTCATGGAGGAGAGTTGAAGCACCTCAACGAGCCCCTCCTATGACCACCTGTATTGCAAAGGCTATTATTGGCCGCGCGGTTGACTTGAATAACCTTCCTTTTGCTTGCCTGATAGGTCTAGGTTTTCACTGCATGCTACGAACTGGGGAACTGTTGGCCATCCAGTTTAAAGATCTTGAGATATCCAGGTCTTGTGGGATCATTAGCCTTTATAGCAGTAAATCTGGCCTGCGCACTGGTACACAAGAAGCGGTGTCAATACGAGACAGTTTAGTGTTGAACCTGCTGGCTACTTTAGTCGCCGTGCAGAAACCATGTCCTGGCGAGACATTGTGGCCGTATTCGGCCCAGTTCTTTCGGGAAACCCTTAAGCGATACATGGGATTCTTTCGTCTTGCTGATTTAAATCTCAAACCTTACAGCCTCCGGCGAGGGGGAGCAACATACCTCTTACAATGTGGGGTTCCTTTGGATGTTATTTTATTACGTGGTAGATGGCGGTCACTTTCTGTGGCCCGCCTCTACCTACAAGATGGTCAGGCGCAGATTCCGCATCTGCGGATCAATTCAACTGACACAGATCGACTCGTGACTTTTGCTGCTAAATGCCCTGAGACAACTTTTCGACCGAGAGAAGCTCAACTTCTTTTCCTTTTGTTGTCAATTCTCTTATAACAGCCATGCGGCCGTGAGAAAGGGACCGTGGAAGAGCCAAGTGAAAATTGAATTTTCTGGAACAGGACTTTACTTTTTATTTCAGAGCTGTCCTGAGTTCATGCCAATTGAACAGCAGGCAGGCTCGAGCCATGTTGCCCCATGCCTTTTGGGAGCAAATGAGCTCTGAAAGATAAAAGGGTCCATGCCTTTTGGCCCTGAGAATGGAAAGAAAGTTTGTGGACATACTGGCTAAGCCAGATGGTCAAGAAAACCTTCAGGTCCAGCGTGACACAAGAAGTGTTGCATGAGTCCATAGCTGTCGCATCGACATTTTGGACGAATCATCACACCTTTTTGTCCTGTTCCGCTTTTAGGCTCTTCAGTTTACCCTTTGTTCCCTTCCCGTCCCGGAAGAGCCAAGTGAAATTTGAATTTTCTGGAACAGGACTTTACTTTTTATTTCAGAGCTGTCCTGAGTTCATGCCGATTGAACAGCAGGCAGGCTCGAGCCATGTTGCCCCATGCCTTTTGGGAGCAAATGAGCTCTGAAAGATAAAAGGGTCCATGCCTTTTGGCCCTGAGAATGGAAAGAAAGTTTGTGGACATACTGGCTAAGCCAGATGGTCAAGAAAACCTTCAGGTCCAGCGTGACAAAAGAAGTGTTGCATGAGTCCATAGCTGTCGCATCGACATTTTGGACGAATCATCACACCTTTTTGTCCTGTTCCGCTTTTAGGCTCTTCAGTTTATCCTTTGTTCCCTTCCCGTCCCGGAAGAGCCAAGTGAAATTTGAATTTTCTGGAGCAGGACTTTACTTTTTATTTCAGAGCTGTCCTGAGTTCATGCCAATTGAACAGCAGGCAGGCTCGAGCCATGTTGCCCCATGCCTTTTGGGAGCAAATGAGCTCTGAAAGATAAAAGGGTCCATGCCTTTTGGCCCTGAGAATGGAAAGAAAGTTTGTGGACATACCGGCTAAGCCAGATGGTCAAGAAAACCTTCAGGTCCAGCGTGACACAAGAAGTGTTGCATGAGTCCAAGATATAGTGCACGTGTCACTGCATCTATGATTGCATGCATGTGCATCCATCGCTATCTGCATAGATATTTAATGCACAGTGTACTATTGCGTAAATTGATGGATGAATGATGCCATACTTTTTCTGTCTTCATTAAGGAGACTGGCCAGCTCTCTCCGTCGAAGCGGAATGGGAGTTGGTGGATTCAAATCATGCAATGGCAATGGTTGCATTCCCCGACGAGAACTCGGAGGAACCAATGACCTGGGCAGCCCGTCTGCTTGGTGCTCAATGTGCTCACAAGATCGCGCACAGTGAGAAAATGCAGAAAGTCATCAAGGAGAAGTCTCCTGTGGAGAGCCTAGAAACTCTTGATGTGGAAAGCATTCCCGGCAGCTTGGCTTTGGAAGATCCCTTTCCAGATCCGAAAGAGCTTGCCCGTGAAGCACGCTCCAAGCATGTGGCCAAGGGTTGCGGGCAAACAATTCGCTCGAACACCCAGTGTCAGTGGACGACGGTGGTGGCAGAGGAGGATGAAGATGCTTCCCATTTGCAGATGCTTCGCAAAACCCCAGTGAGAGTGAAAGGGAGTGGCAAGTGCCAGGTCAAAGACACAAAAGGAAAGACCATCAAGAAGAAAGACACAAAGGATGCAAAGGCTTCTCAAGAGAAAGATGATAAGATCAAGCCGAAAGAACACCCGCAGATCAAGGAGCAGACCAGCCGCATCGACATTCGTGAAGGTCTCAGCATCATGGGCTTCGCCTGAGGGCCACAGAGCGTAGCTCAGAAGTGCGATGGAATCGCGGTACTTGAGCGCATATATACAAGTATGACTAAGTATGATTTAATTTCAAATAAAAAACTAAGGCGTGCATCAAATTTGCATGTAGCCGCCACGGGCATTGAGACAAATGCAATGTCGCTATCTCAAAGCTGTGGCCCTGGCTATAGCAGTTGTACAAAACAAGGTGTGGCACATTGGCCTCATACAAGCCTAATGCAGTTCGATGGATTACAGTGATTACAGGGTCGTGTGTTTGATTAGACTTGAGCTTCCAAGCACTAGCTTGGCACATGACACTAGGTATCGGGTGTTTGCTGACAGCATTTCTTTTGGGTTGTTTAGTGGTTCTAGTTTGGCAGATTCTTCTGGCATTTTTCTCTCATTTTTGTTGCTCAACCTTTGGGGACAAAGCCTCACCAGTCGGCGTTGCGGATCTCTTGCACCATTGCTCAGCGAGATAAACTCCCGCCCAGCCTGCCACAAGAATTCCCCGCGAGTCGACGAGGAAGGCCATTTCTGGTACATTGCCGGAAGCAGAAGTGCACTTAAAATCAACAAAATGCTCATGACTCTTTATGCTTTTCTTATTCCACCAAAAATCAGGAAGGAATCTTTGAACAGCATCTGAAACTGCACCGGCAGTGCACCCGGTGAAATGGATTCCGTTTGCATGCCACCGCACAGGCTTTTGAAGATCTCGATCCTGCTCTCTTTTAAAGAACTCGTTCAAACAGAGGCAACCACATCAAATTTGTTAAGTTTTCCTATTTTTCCTTCGTGTTCCGAGGGCAGGCGTTCAGAGAATCAAGCAACTCATGGGGAAACCCTAATGGGGCATTTTCCAGGCCTTTTGGTTGTCAGGCAGCAGTAGGGCTGCGGCACCCTTGGATGATTTCAATCACATTCAATCACCTGTATGGCACCCAGTCTCTATGCAACTGCCATGCTGTCAGAATCTGCCATAATCTCTCAACTATGTCAAGCATGTCTTGGTGCGCGCGTATTAAACACAGATGTTTCATATTGTTTCATGATGATGCCATGTGCCCTATTTGGCTGGGATGCGAAGGCATAAGCATCCGCCGCTGCAGTATGAGTGTCTTCCTTTGGCAACTATCGGCTCTGGCTTCTTCACCACGCTTCTCGAGAGCTGATTGAAAATGTGACAGGGGCCGCGAATGACAAATTTGTTGAATTTTGCTACTCCATTCTATTTCTTTCATGTGATATACATGTATGAGAATGTATGAGATACAGTCAGTCCTTCCACAGAGAGGTAATACAATGTAATACAATGTATATATAATATTATATAATCAATATACGTTTGTTGGAAGCAGTTTCTAGCCCAGTACAAATTGGCAAAGACCCTTGGTTTGAACCAATACATGCCGGCGGGTTGCTCCTGCAGTACGGTGCTCAAACTGCTGAACTGGAATGGTATGCTTTGGGTGAAATGAAGTGTGCCACCTCGACAGGACCTAGACTCACAATTCAGTAGACAATGCATGAATGAAATTTCTGAGGACGTAGTGACATACAGTGGCGATGCTGAAACTACTTCTTTCATCTTTTTTCATCTTCTTTCAACGTTGAACGGAACAGTTGAGCTCAGCTGAAAGAGAAGAGCATTTCCCTCTTGACCTAGTTGTCAAGCGAGCACAGTAGTCCGAAGGCAAGCAAGTGCCATGGTGGATCCATCGAATGGGAAGCCGCAAAAACAAGGTGGGATGCAAAGCAAAGTGGCACACAACTGCTTTCAGAGAGGAAAAGGGGGATGAAAGGGAGAGGAGGGAAATCTTACAACATCTTTCTTTCAACTGGTTCGAATGTCGAACTGCTTTAAGGCAACATGCAGTGGCAGAGACACTTGCTCCGGGGGACACGTCGGACACGTCATGTTTCAAGAGTTTGCAGCTCTTCGACTTGGCAGGAATGGATTGTCCCAGAAGTCGAGTTGCTGCTGGTGCACAGTCCGAAAAAGAAAGAGGATGTCTGCCTGGCACCTGGTTCACGCAGGGACTTGACACAAATAACAGTGTACTAAGATGTACTAAGGACAAAGTGTACATATTCGGCACTTGGCCAGGGCTTTCAAGGTATCGGTCCTGACTCATCAGGATTTCATTCTCCTTACATTCATGAATATATACATGGCGGACACCTATGTCTATGACGTTCTACATCTAATCTACATCTATATAAATATATCATGTCATATAATTCTATATTCTATATCTCTATAAGTCTCTATATGCGTATATCCGTATATGCTCATGCTCGCTTGCTTCAGCCAGAGCGCCAGGTGTATCAGCTGTTGGCATCGGAGAGTTCTGGTGGCGCCTTGGGGCGCTGGATGCAGCGGCCAGCAGAAGCCACATGTGTACTGAATGGCTTGGCCAAACTGAGGCTTTTTGTTTGCTGTGTGCAGCTCGCTGCAGCTCTCGAACTAGGAAGCAAGAGTAAGCAGGTATCAGTATCAGATGCTACTGCTCCTGCTTCTACTACTACTAATACTACTACTACTACTTCTACTACTTCTACTACTATTACTACTACTACAGCTACAGCAAGTCTGTTTGCTTAGTATACAATTTCGGCATTCGTCAAGCTAGAAAGTGCCACCAGGATCTCTTTTGAGCTGAGTTGGGACAATTGCAAACATGATACAATGTCTTTGATTGTGTTGCTCCTGGGGGCATGAAGGCTTCTCACATGATTATCATTGTGGCCGCAGGTGTGCCGAGCTTGCCCTTCAAGTCTTGAATGTCATGCAGTTGCTGAGCTTGAAGCAGGGACAGTGTATATATCTATATATAAAATATGCAAGTGCAAATTGGCACTGTACTGAGTCATGCTGAAGGTTTTGGGAACCCGGCGGTTTTCTCGCTTGTTTTGCTATGTGACTTGCTGAGGCTTGCCAGTGTGGAAGCCAACGTTTTCCATTATTCAACAGCTGCATCTGCGTGCGAAAAGAGCCTTGCTTGAGAAAAGGTTCTTTGAGATGTCATGCGTCAGACTCTGACACAATTGGCACAGCAGCCTTTGAGAACCTTTCCATTGGCAACTTCGCATTCAAGATTCCTTCAAGTGTCATATGTTTGACTCCGAATCCTACTTAGCTAAGGTCTGGACAGTGGACTCGGGTCCTGCAACTTCTTGCAGAGATGCCATCCGCAACCATCCAGCCAAATGCGCCTCGACTCTTCACAACGAATGCAGCACAGCACATTGCTGGCTATTGGCATAACCGGCATAACTGTATCAATCCTGGCGTGAATTTGGATCAGTTTGTTGCATGCTTGAACACTTGTTTGAACCGTGGATTTGTGAGACAAAGCCTCTGGAGCTTTACACGAGCCTTGCATAGTTCTGAACGACAACTTCTTTGATTCATGCGACTCTGAACAGCGAGTCATCGCGAGTCTTTGATTGGATGGTCTCAAGGTATACACGTTTGGCTCCGCGATCAGCTGCTGCGAAAAGGCTTGTCGCTGGCAGGAGGCTATGGCACTGCTGTGCGCTGCAGCTCCAGAGGTCAATGCATTCGCGTTCAGTGGTGCCATCAGTGTCACTATGGCTGGCAAATAGGTTGGTTTGGTATGTTTGTGCATGTTAGGGTGCGCGGCACCTCGCGCACATGAACACATTGTATATAGTGATATAATATATATATATATATATATTTATTTATTTATTTATACACATCATTATATATAATTCATTATCATTCCCCGGAGTTCAGAATTGTCGACATGAGCATTCCCTGCTACTGTAGTGTATCGAAACTTGGCGTTTGCTCTACAGTGTCCCAGTGTCCCAGTGGGCCCAGGCATGCAAAAAAGGAAGCCAATGGCACAGAGCCCTTGGCCTTTTGGAGGTGATGGAAGCTTTGAAGGACAGGATATCTCTGCAGGGTGTTGTGACACAAAGCGGTGTTGCTGCCTTGACCCCCCAAAAGACACGTTCCTTTTAGCTTCCGTTCTATACCATATTAATTATACCATATATATCTCCTTCTGAATCAGTCAGAGATGGTCAGAGTGAAGTATACCTATAAAGGATTGTTGTAAAGTTACTGGCTGACCATGAACAGCGCTTCAACTTCAAAACGACAGGTGGAGGCGGATGTCATTTGCATCAGCGGTGCCATCAGCTCATGCGAGAATCTCGTCCTGATGGGAACAGTTTTTTAGCAGATAAGAATGAACAGTACGACGGTACGACAACGGGGAACAGGATGAGGGGCTTTTCAAGCTACTTACTGTACCTTGCTGCTAAGATACCGAGGTTTGAGGAATGGTTCTATCTAGATGGTTCTGCATGCCACGTGGAATCTGTGAGGAAATGTGCCCAATGGCAATCAGCTCTCTACCTGCTGCAGTCAATGGAGGACACCTTTTCGTGCATCGTGTGCACAGATACCTGTTTTGCAAGTCCTGGGCCCACAACAGATCAACTCCGTATTTGGATGTATTTGGATTTCAATGGATCTTCAACTTCTTTCCCCCTGGTATGGTCAGTCAAAGTGGTCTGTAGGAGGCATCAATGAAGCCTAATCTGGTGGCGCAAAATGCAGCTCTGAGTGCTTGTGAGAAAGCCAAACGATGGCAGAATGCTTTAGCTTTGCTGGAGCAGCTACCAAAAAAACGCTTGACGGCCGATGATGTTAGCTACTTGGATCTGGTCAGAGCCAACAAATCGTAGAAGCATTTAAAATCCGCGTCTACAATCGTCATCTTTGATTAGACGCCGCTGTCGAAGCATGCTGCGTTTAGAAATTAGCATCTTACTGTATAGATCTGTATAGTGGAGGCCTCGCAGTTGGAATCAGTCGGCTACTTTGGTGACGCAGTTAGAATTGCGTTCGAAGTTCTAAGTGATACTATTGGCTGCAGTCAGAATCGTTGTCACACTTTGGCCTCGAAGTACTGACTCGACACTTAGAATCTTCCAAACCAATGCAGTAAGTTCCAAAACAATGTTGCCAGAGTTGATTACAAAGCTCCCGGAATCGATTCCATTTGCCGTTTGTAATTATTCCTGATGACGGGCTGCTGCGGATGCAACTTCATGTGCGTGTTCTGCTAGTTCTGTTGGCTTTTGCTGCCATTCTATCTGCTTGTCTTGTTCTGGCATTCCTGATCAGGGGCTGTTGCTGATGAAACTTCATGCGCAGGCTTGTTTTCAGCAATTTCTGGTGGCTTTTGTTGCGGTTCTATGTACGGCTAGTCTTCTTTCCATACATGTGAAATATCTTGAAATGGCAGGTGCTGCTATTGACTGTTTGGGGTTTGCTGCGGGCTCTCTGGCTTGACCAGCATTTGCTGTTGTTTCTGCTGACTGCTGCTGTTGCTGATGAATTTTATTTGCAGGCCATTGCAGGCTTGCATTCTGGCAGTTCTGGTGGCTTTTGTAATATGCATCCAGCAATTCTAACAGCAGAAATGCCCGCGACATTCTGGCACGTAGAAATCGCTACTTTTTGCGCGCAGAACTGATGACAAAATGTCTATTTCCTAGGGTCCTAGGGTGCTACCATAAGTAGCCCCATCAGCAATAACAATTGTTGGAGCCTTGCCTATCTTGCCTCATTGGCTGATTATGCTGATTATTTGAGGCTACAATGCTACTATCAGCGCATGTGCGAATTCTAGTCATTGGCAGCTCGCTTTGGGACTGCTGCAAGAGATGGAGAAAAGGATTACCCCAGATGCTCGAACCTTAGAGCCGGGGAACTTTGAAAGTTTGAGACTTGTTAGCCTTGTGCTTCCTCACACTCCCCTTGCATGCGAGGCAGTGAGCTACAGTGGTGTCATTTTGGCGTGCGAGAGAGGCATGGCGAAGGGCAATGCAGCCTGAAATCGAGCATTGATGAGTGGAAAGATATATATATATATATAATCATTATATTATCTATATAATACACACACCCATTTATATATATATATATGTGGGGAGAGAGAGAGAGAGATGTATACATTTCTATATATATATATATATTCTGGTTCTTTCTTATTTAATGTGCAATTTGCCCTTGAGTAGACGCTACTGTAAGGTGTTGGACGTCTTGAATTGTAAGTCTTCAAGTAGTGAGGTCATAGTATCATAATAGTGGCCGGTTTTGAGGCCGTCATCCCAGGAGCCGTTCTGCGAAAGACATAGCAATCTCCTCCCCAGCTTCTTACTTAGCTTTAGCCAACACCTTGCACTCTCTTCCCATCGTATCCCAATGTATCCCATGGCAGGGAGCCGGTGGCACCTTGCTTTCCAACTCTGTGATCGCATGGCTCTGATGCGTGTCCCCATGGATGTGATCAGCTGCAGCAGCTTGATGAGTGCGTGCGAACAAGGTCAGACACTGTGGATCAATGGATCAATGACAGGGGTGTAAGAAGGAAACAGAGGTAATCGCTGAAGGAAGCAAGTGCCAAAGGACTACCAAAGAAAGGGATGTGCTAAAGATGTGCTTCTCTCATCATTTCCTCAAAAGAGGAGGGTGGCCAGGACCCTAGTAGCAAAGTATGCATGGCTCAGAGCTGGTTTGCGGTGCAGGTGGCGAATGGCGCTCAACATTAGCATTGCTCAGGAAGATGCCCAGCATCACCCTCACACCGAACCATGTTACCTTCAGAGCCTTAGCATTTTCAAATTACTGGCTTTAGACTCCAATTGTTGGGTAGTTCGGGGCCGGGCTCAGAATCGGGACTTCCAGCGACTTCATGGATCCATTGTTCTTTGATAAGCAATCTCAGGGTGTGCTACAAAAAAATGCGATGCCCTCATGCAAAATGTGCTGGAACTTGCATCAGGATTTTCAATAGAATTGCGAGAGTCATACAGTAGCTGTAAAAGTAGCTGACAGATATTTCTAGTTTCACATTTTTAGTGGCGCCGTGGAATTTTAAGGACCAAAGTTGAGGGGAAACGGGGAAACCTCCCATCATTCCCATCATTCCCACAATCGCCCCCATACCTCTGCCATACCTCTGCCATACCTCTGCCATGAGAAACCCAACAAGCAAGGGAAGTCGTGGGCTGTATCGGACGCTGCCAGCCCTAAAGACGCCATAGACTGCAGGCAGTGCAATCAGTGCCTGTGACACAGGACGTCGGTGGCAGACTGCCTTGGGCCTTTTCTACATGATGCCCGAGAAGCAGCCAGATCAATTTTGCTGCAATGCAGCGATTTTAGCTTCTGAAAAGGCCGGGGGATGCAGGAACCATGTTCATCCATGTTCATCCATGTTCATCCCATCACATTCATATACATTCATCAGGTTTGGTATCGGCAAGTAGCAATATTCTCCAGAAAATCATGATGCTCAGACGTGCAACTCCATGCAATTCTGCTCCCAGGCCGGTCAATGGGGAGAAGCAATGCAAATATTTCACTCGATGTCCTCCCGTATAGTCGAGCCAGATCCTTGGCTGCCGCAGCAAGCTTGCCAATTATGTTAATTTATAGGCTGCGTCCCAAAACCCGCGAAATGGAAATGGATTGCACTCATTGTATGACCCAACCTTTGAATATCTTTGACTTGACATGACTGGATTGCATTTGCCTTCACATCAGATGGATCCAGGATTTCATCAGTTGCGCCGCAGCAATGCTGGCAGCTGACAATGGCTGCAAATGGGCAGATTTTGCAGCATATTGCAATACAGAGTCCTTCCTGCTTGTGAACTTCTTCCGCTCTGGATGCTGATGAGCCACCAGAGCTTGCAATCGTCAATGGCAATGTTCCACTGGATTTGGCTTCAAACAGCTTTTGTTGGAGTCAAAAGTGGTGAATCATGGTGAGTCTGTATGCATTGTATATGCATTGTAATTGTATATGTCTAAAATCGTTTTTTGTACAGTGGGGGCTGCCGGGGAATGTCTCATGAGCGACGGAGTCCGATGTCATGAAAATGTGCTCCCTGTGGGAGCAGGACCTTTGCATAACTGCTTTCTCGAAGGTACGTCGTGTGCTGATTCGATGCAAAGATTGGAACAAACCAGAAAGCATATGAAAGCATACGTTTCGTACTTTTCACCCAAGACAGTCGAACCTGAGACCCGAAAGCCAACTTGGACTTAGTATCTATTTTACTTTATTTTTTGAATATATAATGATAATAATAATAACATATATATATATACATGCCGTTATTGACATTGAGGTGCAGGCACACGTGTTGCATGTCGTGCAGACTGAGACGGTGAAGCTCGACGAAGAAGTGTGGAATCTCAGACTTCCGCGGTGCGTTTGTGCGATAATTACTGTAGGACTCTCCGCTTGTTGCAGTGCAAAGGCTTGAAATTTGATGCCAGCACCTCGAAGGAATTCACCCTTACAAGTGCAGATTGAAGTGAGATTAAACGGTGACATGCAGCCACTATTCTTTGACGTGATGTAGATTCAGGGGTTCTACACTGACCCAACTGTCAACTGGGATCGTATACCACACAGATGCATTTTGGATTGCACGAAAATCTTCGAAAGGTAGATTGGCATTAACGGTGTATGAAAGCGTTGTCCATGCATGACTCAGGTCTCAAGTCTGAAACTCCGGATCCGATTGAAGCAGCACCGCGCTCAGTGATGCTGCGAAGGACTGCAAAATGAAAGCTTTTAAATTGCAATCCCGTACTAACTATATACAGAAATATCCTGCAGCATCCTGCAGCCAACCCTACATTGATCCACATGTACACAAATATCCATTGCTTGACCAAGGAATCGCCCGAGAATGTAATAAAATAAGATCAAATCGGGAAATCAAAGGACCGGATAACCCCACATGTCAACTTCGTCCAATAAGTAGCACAAGAAAGGCGAACACGGGAAGAGCTGTGTGTGACAGAGTTGTGCGTGAAAGATTCTTGCGTGAAAGGGATGTGGGTGAAACAGCGTGTTTAAGGGATGGATAAGGTAGCAGCGAGAACCGACAAAGTGTAAAGGGGCGGGGCAATGCAAGACTGTGATGGACTTGCGCTTTTGTGTGTGTGTGCGTGTGTGTGTGAACTATCTGAAGAGATGTAAAACTTCTAACTTTAGGTTTCCATTCTCATGGCTTCTTTATGAACTTCAGTTATGGCAGGGGGCCAGGAACCCATGACTGTCTGTCCTGGCCAACGAAGACCAGACAGCATGGGGGTGAAAACGTACCTGCAATTTTCCATTCCGTTTTTTCTGTCATGGCAACCGGCTAAGCCCAGAACGGGCACGTCGAATTTCAATTTCAAATTAAATCTCAACGGGAAAGGGGAAGGGTTAGCTTTCATTCAAACATTCTCGGCACTGGCTATGGCGATGGTAGCTCCTGTCAAGCGTATGTCAGGTGTAATTGGAGTGTTTTTGCACGTAAGATGCATTCCACAACAAAATTCGCACTGAAAAAATTTGAGCAAGTGTGTTACTCACGTCGGCTCGACAAGATGTCGTGAGCCCCTCGGGGAATACCTGTCTAGGTAGGATGTTGCATCCTTCGACTTGGCCTCTGAATTTTCACTTTTAATTTCTAGTAATTCTAGTAATTCGTCTACGTAAAGTGGAACAGATGGCCTTTTTCGGGTTTCACCGTTTCACCCGTCGAATGCCACTATGTTGAATTGCTGCCCGCTGTCTTGGGGACTCACCTTTTATGACTTGTGTGTAGCCAGCGTCCATAGGGTTGACTCGTTTGAGTCTTCCTTTCTAAATTTTGCTCGAAAGACAGACTGCTGTCAAGCGACACTGACTCATATTGACTCATGAAAGATGGCAAGGTTTCAGGACATGCTTTCAGGATCTTTCAATATATGGTGATCTTTCCTTTTTGGTCGTTGGTGAGGTATAATTATGCATTAATTCGAGTCGAGAGTTTACTTAAGCCGTCCAGAGGGTTGCGATCTGACATCGGAGGGCCTCTGGGCCTTATTACGACAATTTTTCTTTGGATTGAATCAGATTCATTGAATCGTTAAATTTATTTTAATACCAAAAAACCCAAAAATATACAAAAAATATTACTACTAATATTACGATCTGGCCTTACACAGAGCGCGCGCGCGCAGTTTCCCGAGACCAATTTCCCCAAAAATCTGCCACATTTTTGGGAAAATTGGCGAATACAAACTTAGACTGTGCGAATACAAATTAAGCCCGTGCTTCCTGAGCCCCCTGCTCGGAGGTCGAAAATTTACTACTTTTTTGGGACATTCAATTTTGATTTTCCCAAAAATGTGATGCTTTTTGGGAAAATTCTCTTCTCTCCAATCAGTGTCCCACTACGCAAATGCAGTACGGTCGGTCAGGGTCGGTCGGGGGTTCGATTCCCCCCTGGTCCACTGTCGCTCGGTAGGTCTCTCAGTTGAGTTTGAATATGTGTCTCTTGAATTTGGCGCGCGCGCGGAGTTCGCCACAATTTTGGCACTTTAACCCCGAGCCCAATTTTCCCAAAAATTTGCCACTATTTTGGGACTTTCACCCCGGGCCCAATTTTCCCAAAAATCTGCCACAATTTTGGAATTTTTCACGAATACAAACTTTGGGAACTTTCGTTTTGCGTTTCCGTTATTTTGAATTTACCGCATGCGACTGTCGCTCTCTTGAATTCACTAGGGGGCCCACAGATATTTCAAGCTTGCTGGTCGTGGGTACGAGTGTCTTTTTGGTGCCGCTGACTTTGCATTGGAAAAAGGCCGCTGATATAGGCTCGCCAAGCTAGCGGAATGAAGTTGCACAACCAAACCAGTCGCATATTTTCATATGGCTACACATTTAGTCATGTTAACCCTGTGGCGGTGCCCTCGGTGTAGACCGCATGGCTGTTCACTGTTGGGCCCCAAGAATTGCAAGCCGCAATCTATAACGGCATGCCCTCAATTTATTACTACTAATATTACGATCTGCCTGTACACAAACCACTTGGGGAGCAGCTTTCAGTAGCAACTTTCGGGAGCAGCTTTCGGGAGCCGCTTTGCAGAATAGATTTGGGGAAACGTTTTAGGGTAGAGGTTTGAAGAATCGCAGCTCTCGGGCAATAGCTTTGGACAGCAGCTTTGGGCAGCAGCTTTGGCAAGCTGTCCGGAGCAACTTTCAGGAACAATTGCTTTGAAGAACGGCATCTTACGGGGGCAGCTTTACAAACAACTTCGGGGAGCAGCTTTCAGTAGCAACTTTCGGGAGCAGCTTTCTAGGTTTGAAGAGTTGCAGCTTTGGGGCAATAGCTTTGGACAGCAGCTTTTGGTAGCAACTTTGAGGCGCAGCTTTCGGGAGCCGCTTTGCAGAATGGCTTTGGGGAGCCGTTTTCGTGAACAGGTTGACAGAATCGCAGCTTTAGGGCAACAGCTTTGGAGAACAGCTTTGGGGCACAACTTTGTGGAGCAGCGCCGGGGAACAGCTTTGGGTAGCAGCTTTGTGGAGCAACTTTGGACAGCTTTCCAGACCAGCTGGCAGCTTCGGGCAGCAGCATTGGAGTTTTTGGGAGCTTCTTTGGGACGTTTTGGTAGCAACTTTGAAGAGCAGCTTTGGGGAGCAACTGTGGGGAGCAACTTTGCGGCTTTGCAGCAGCATTGACGGACAGTTGCCTTGAAGAACGACAGCTTTGGGGAGTAGTTTTAACATGTTTTAACCAGTCGCATATTTTCATACGGCTACACATTTAGTCATATTAACCCTGTGGCGGTGCCCTCGGTGTAGACCGCATGGCTGTTCACTGTTGCGCCCCAAGAATTGCAAGCCGCGATCTATAACGGCATGCCCTCAATTTATTACTACTAATATTACGATCTGCCTGTACACAAACCACTTCGGGGAGCAGCTTTCAGTAGCAACTTGTGGAGCCGCTTTGCAGAATAGCTTTAGGGAGACGTTTTAGGGCATAGGTTTGCAGAATTGCAGCTTTCGGGCAATAGCTTTGGACAGCAGCTTTGGGGAGCAGCTTTGGGAAGATGTCCGGAGCAACTTTCAGGAACAATTGCTTTGAAGAACAGCACCTTTCGGGGGCAGCTTTACAAACAACTTCGGGGAGCAGCTTTCAGTAGCAACTTTCGGGAGCAGCTTTCGGGAGCCGCTTTGCAGAATAGCTTTGGGGAGCCGTTTTGGTGTATAGGTTTGAAGAGTTGCAGGTTTGGGGCAATAGCTTTGGACAGCAGCTTTTGGTAGCAACTTTGAGGCGCAGCTTTCGGGAGCCGCTTTGCAGAATGGCTTTGGGGAGCCGTTTTGGCGAACAGGTTTGCAGAATCGCAGCTTTAGAGCAACAGCTTTGGAGAACAGCTTTGGGGCACAACTTTGGGGAGCAGCGCCGGGGAACAGCTTTGGGTAGCAGCTTTAGGGAGCAGCTTTGAGGAGCAGCTTTGCACGGCAGCTTTGAAGAACCGCAGCTTTGGGGAGCACCTTTGGGGAGTAGCTTTAGAACGCAACTTTGGGGAGCAGATTTCCGCAGCTTTGGGGCAACAGCTTTGGAGAACAGCTTTGGGCGCAACTTTGGGGAACATCGCCGGGGAACAACTTTGGGGAGCAGCGCCGGGGAACAGCTTTGGGGAGGAGCTTTGAGGAGCAGCTTTGCACGCTAGCTTTGAAGAATCTCAGCTTTGGCGAGCACCTTTGGGGAGCAGCTTTAGAACGCAACTTTGGGGAGCAATTTTCGGCAGCAACTTTGGGGAGCAGCTTTCCGCAGCTTCGGGGCAACAGCTTTGGCGAACAGCTTTGGGCGCAACTTTGGGGAACATCGATTGGGGAGCAGCGCCGGGGAACAGCTTTGGGGAGCAGCTTTAGGGAGGAGCTTTAAGGAGCAGCTTTGCACGGCAGCTTTGAAGAACCTCAGCTTAGGGGAGCACCTTTGTGAACGCACTTTGGGGAGCAGCTTTCGGCAGCAACTTTGGGGAGCAGCTTTCGGGAGCCGCTTTGGAAACTAGCTTTGGGGAACAGGTTTGAAGCATAGCCACTTTGGGGCAACCGCTTTGCAGAGGTGCTTTGGAGAACAGCTTTGGGAAACAACTTCGGGCAACCGCTTTGGGGAGCAGCTTTGGCAAGCTGTCCGGAGCAACTTTCAGGAACAATTGCTTTGAAGAACAGCAGCTTTCGGGGGCGGCTTTACAAACAACTCCGGGGAGCAGCTTTCAGTAGCAACTTTCGGGAGCAGCTTTCGGGAGCCGCTTTGCAGAATAGCTTTGGGGGGCCGTTTTGGTGTATAGGTTTGAAGATTTGCAGGTTTGGGGCAATAGCTTTGGACAGCAGCTTTTGGTAGCAACTTTGAGGCGCAGCTTTCAGGAGCCGCTTTGCAGAATGGCTTTGGGGAGCCGTTTTGGTGAACAGGTTTGCAGAATCGCAGCTTTAGGGCAACAGGTTTGGAGAACAGCTTTGGGGCACAACTTTGGGGAGCAGCGCCGGGGAACAGCTTTGGGAGCAGCTTTGGACAGCTTTCTGGACCAGCTTTGAGGCAGCTTCGGGCAACAACATTGGAGTTTTGGGGAGCTTCTTTGGGACGCGGCTTTCGGTAGCAATTTTGAAGAGCAGCTTTGGGGAGCAACTGTGGGGAGCAACTTTGCGGCTTTGAAAGCAGCATTGACGGACAATTGCTTTGAAAAACGATAACTTTGGGGAAAAGCTTCAGAAAGCAACTTTGGGAAGCCGCTTTCGGAAACAACTCTCGGGGGGCAAGCTTAGCAGCTGATCGGAGCAGCTTTGAGGCGGAGCAGCTTTGAACAGCAGCTTTGAATGAGGAGTACCTTTCGGAAGTAGCTTTAGAACGCATCTTTGGGGAGCAGCTTTCGGCAGCAACTTTGGGGAGCAGCTTTCGGGAGCCGCTTTGGAGAATAGCTTTAGGGAACAGGTTTGAAGCATAGCCGCTTTGGGGCAACCGCTTTGCAGAGGTGCTTTGGGGAACAGCTTTGGGAAGCAGGAACCGCTTTAGGGAGCAGCTTTGGCAAGCTTTCCGGAACAACTTTGAGGATTAACTACTTTGAAGAACACCAACTCTGCGGAGCAGCTTTCAGGGACAACTTTACAAACTATTTCGGGGAGCAGCTCTTAGTAGCAACTTTGTGGAGCAACTTTGGGGAGCAGCTTTCAGGACTTGTGACTTGGGGGTATAAACTTGAAGAATCGCAGCGTTGGGGCAATAGCTGCTGTCCAGGAACAGCTTTAAGAACAACTTTGGACAATTTTTTCTTCACTTGCTTTGAAGAACAGCAACTTTCGGGCACGCATTTACAAGGAATTTCGGGGAGCAATTTTCAGTAGCAATTTTGGATAACTTTGGGGAGCTGCTTTCCGGAGCATTTTTGGGAACAGCATTGGTGACTAGCTTTGGGATTGTGGAGAGCTGCTCTGGGGCAGCTTCGGGGACCAGCTTTGGGGAGCAGATTTCGGGAAGAATTTTGGGGAGCAGC